CCACCTGAAGATGATCAACAACTCATTACTCATGAGTGTTAGCAGCACTCAATCCCAGATGGCATTTGTAAATAGTTACATTTTCTTTTCTTTTTGTAACTTCATATGTCTGGTTTGATACTTTTATTTTTCTCTCAAGTATGAGGAACCTTCCTTTTCAGAGCCCTACATTTTGCATAATTGTACTCTTGGGAAACACCTCCAGAGACCCCCAAATGGAGGATGGCAACCTATAGTAAGTTAAACTATCTGTCTCTATGAACCCATTACTCAGTGCCAGTGGATGAACTAATGTAGAGGGAGCCCTGGTGCAAGAAGTTGTTTCTGGCACCCAAAGGTTAGATCACCATCTGTTGTACAACGCCCACAATATTATGCGAGCTGGAGATCTACCATGTGTCCATTGTTGCAGGGTTTTATTTGTGAGCAGTGTTTGTGCATTTGAATGCAAGCATGTTTTTAAATAGGGAATGTGTGTGCATGTAGAGGTGTATTTGTATGTACGTTTGACATTGGAATGCAGTGGTGTGCTTGTGTGTAGTGTATGCACTTGCATGCAAGGGTTTGTATGTTGTATGTTGGTTTCTAAATGCAGGTGTACATTTGTGTGTAGTCTTGGTATGTGAATGAAAGAGTGTTTTTATATAATTTTGGCATTTTAATACAGGTGTGTGTTTCTATGTAATGTTTGCATTTGGAGAAGTGTGTTTGCTTGTTGTGCCGATACATACAAAAACCCAGAAACACCGGTACACACACTGACTCATACACACACCATGACACACAGATACACACACTGATAGATACAAACACCCTGACACACAGATATACACTCTGACACATACAAACACATTGACACATGCTGACACATGCACATGCTGACCCATGCAAACACCCAGATATACATATACACACACTGATACATACACACATATCCACACACTGACACATACAAACACCTTGACATACAGATACACACACTGACCCATGCACACACTTGTGACGGATTACCTGGCACCCCGAATGGGCACCTCCACCAACAGATGCTTCTTAGCTGACGCTGAGGACTGTAAGCACCTCACCGGACACCACAAGCAACACAGACTCCACAACTGCCGTAGCTTAGCCGGGATCTCGCCGTCTTCCTCCCACCCTGGACCAACCTCTGATATCCAGGACCATGTGGGAAAGACCTCTCCTGCTCCAGATAGCATAGCAGGAACAGCTCTTTTAAGAGCTAGTGATTAGAACCCAGGAGAGTATAAGGAGTGTAGCAATCCCCAGTGTGAATATAGCAGTTCCCCTCCACTCACGAGACCAAGCTACGTGTTGAGGGTTAAGCAGGAACTCAAATTTAATGGTGCAGAAAAACACACATTTTTATAAAGTATCATAAATACCCCAAAACACAACATATCCCCGTGATAGCTCTGATCTGGGTGACTAACATATCCCAAAATCACCCAGATAAGAACAAGGGTTCAAGAAATTCCTGCAAGTCTCTTTTTGACCTTCCGCACGCATGGTTTAATGCCCAAAACAGTTCCAGAGAATTAGGCTGTGCGGCCGGTCTATTTCAAATAGTCGAAATACCGTTCGAATTACTGAACGTAATTGTTAATGAACATAGTCAGAATTCAAACGCTGTAAGTTCCTTTTCCATTAAAGGCACTGGTTTGTGTAGATTAAACAAACAACTACTAAGAGAGCCTAAAATAGTTTCTAATATAAAAGGAGAATTGAGACTATATTTTGAAACAACCAACCAGATACCTTAGCTGAAAGCATATGGTTAGTACATAAAGCTCTATACAAGGTACATAAAACATGTTAGTTATCAGAAAAAAAACAATGAAAGTCTCAATATGTACATCTTACCTTTCAACTAGGTACCTTAACAACACTGTAACAAATTACAATTAGTGATGTCCCGAACGGTTCGCCGAACGGTTCGCCACGGACGGCGAACATATGCGGTAAACTTTGACCCTGTACCTCACAGTCAGCAGACACATTCCAGCCAATCAGCAGCAGACCCTCCCTCCCACCTCCCACCTCCTGGACAGCTCACTAAGAATGCAGCTTCACAATGAATGTAAAATGGATGCTGTCCAGGAGGTGGGAGGGTCTGCTGCTGATTGGCTGGAATGTGTCTGCTGACTGTGAGGTACAGGGTCAAAGTTTACCGCATATGTTCGCCGTCCGTGGCGAACCGTTCGGCGAACTGTTCGGGACATCACTAATTACAATGCTTGCGATACACTCTCACTCAGATGGAGAAAGTCAAATACTTTAATACAGAATAAGGAACAGCACACATATAAAAATAAAGTTTTCATTTTATAAGGCTACTTAAATGCACATATCTCAGTGTGTTTTAGGTGTGCCCCCAATTACCTTTTAAGTTTAAAGTAAGTTTAGAGTAATTTTGGGTTGATCACCCTTCCCTGTCTCCCACCTTCAGATGCCCCTTTGGAGGTGACCACAGAATAGATTATTTTTGAGTAGGTTTTGGGTAGTAATGCACTTTAATTGTAATTTTTATTTGTTATAGAGCAGATATATGGTTTGCTTTGTGAGAATATACATCAAAGCACTATCACTTTAATTGTTTAGTTTTGCCACTGCATTTTTATCATGTTCATTTTGTATTATATATATATATATATATATGTGTTCTTACAACAGGTTATTAATATACACATTAGCAAATTTAGCACTAGCACTAGAATTGGAGGAAGGCAGATTTTGTTTCTATATTTAAAAAGGGTTCAAAATCCTTGGAAATTATAGACCTATGAGCTTAATTTCTTTGACTGGGAACAATATTTGAAGGGCTATTAAGGGATAATATTCAGGAATTCATTGGGAAGAACTTTATTAGCAATAATCAGGTTGGTTTTATGAAACATAGGTCATATCAAACTAACCTAATTGCATTCTACGAAGAAGTAAGTAGAAGTATAGATCAGAGTGTTACAGTGGATGTGATCTACTTGGATTTTGCCAACGCATTTGATACGGTTCCACACAATAGGTTAGTCACCAAACTAAAAGAAATTGGTCTACATGAATATTCTTGTTCTTGGGTAGAACATTGGCTTAAGGATAGAGTACAAATTGTCATTAATGGTAAATTTTCAGGCTGGACAAAAGTGGTAAGTGGTGTCCCTCAGGGTTCTGTTTTGGGACCACTTCTATTTAACATATTTATAAATGATCTTGAAATAGCCATTAAAAGTCATGTATCAGTGTTTGCAGATGACACAAAACTTTGTAAAGTAATAAAATGCGTGCAGGATATTGCTTTGCTGCAGAGGGATTTGGCTAGATTGGGGGACTGGGCACTAAAATGGCAGATGAAATTTAACGTAGAGAAATGCAAAGTTATGCACTTCAGGGTTAAGAATGCACAAGCAATTTACACCCTAAATGGTAGTGAACTAGGGATAACCACACACGAGAAGGATGTGGGAATTGTTATAGACAACACATTAGACAGCAATATGCAATGTCAATCTGCAGTTGCTAAGGCCAGTAAAGATTTGTCATGTATAAATAGGGGGATAAATTCTCGGAATGAAAATTTAATTTTGCCTCTTTATAAATTGCTGGTAAGACCACAGCTTGAATATGCTGTGCAATATTGGGCACCTGTTCTAAAAAAGATATCATGGCACTAGAAAAAAGTGCAGAGATGAGCTAAAAAATTGATAAAAGGAATGGCGCATTTTACTTACGAAGAAAGGGTAAAAAATGTAAATCTCTTTAGTTTGGAAAAACGGTGCCTGAGAGGGGATATGATAACATTATACAAATATATTTGGGGCCAGTACAAACTTTTGTCTTGAAATCTATTCATAAACAGGGCAATACATAGGACATGCCTTCTTTTGGATCAACAGCAAAAAACAAATGTGAGAAAGGCTGAACTTGATGGACGCAAGTCTTTTTTCAGCTATGTAACTATGTAACTATGACACAAGGTCACACATTTAGGCTGGAAGAAAAGAGATTTCATCTAAGACAAAGAAAAGGTTTTTTTACAGTAAGAGCAATGAGGATTTGGAATTCTCTACCTGAAGAGGTTGTTTTGTCAGAGTCCATACAGATGTTTAAACTGCAATTGGATAAATACTTGCAAAAACATAACATACAGGGATATCATTTCTAATTAGTGGGGTAATAGCTGCTTGATCCAAGGAGACATCTGACTGCTATTTTGGGGTCAAGAAGGATTGTTTTCCAAGTTTGTTGCAAAATTGGAGGCGCTTCAGACTAGGTTTTTTTTGCCTTCTTTTCAATCAACAGCAAAAACATATGTGAGGAAGGCTGAACTTGATGAACGCAAATCTCTTTTCAGCTATGCAACTATGTAACTAATAAATGTGTCTCCCACATTAGAATTAGTGTGGGACCCACTGATATTGGGGTACTGTGAAGTATTGGTGGGCTTACTACAATATGGCAATATGGTGGGACTGAATCCCCATATTTGTTTGCTTAAAAAGGTAATTTTAAATAGCCTTATAAAATTTAAAACTGTATTTTTATGTGTGTGCTGATCCTTAATCTGTATTATGTATACGTTTTGGTCCCTACAGAAGGACCATTCCTAAGAAATGCATGTTTCGGGTGTGCCTCCAATTCTCTTTTTTTTCTCAACTAAGAGACATAGACCTTCTCAAAACAAACTTCATTATCTGAAAAATGAAACAACACAATTTTACCCAGGGAAACAGAGCCAGCACCTTACTACTTCCCAATTAAAAAAATCACAAGCTGAGGGGGCGGGTCCGACTTCCGGCGAGTACGGACGCATGGCCTGAGAGCTCCGCTGTAAATCCAGCCTGTTAGCGACAACGATAGCAAGAAACTGCAAATTTTTCAGATACCCACGCTCCCAAGGTGGTACCCCACGACTATGTCACCCCCCAAACAGATGAAGATCATGGACGCGGTGAAAACCCGAAAAAAAGACCGGGGGAAAGAAAGACAAGATGGCGGCGATGCGCCTGGCATGTCGGACGACCAGTCAGACGCTGAGTCCATCTCCTCCAAACTATCGGACTCTACGATCACAGAACGAAGCCTGCACAGAATGCTGCAAGACCTCCGATCTACCATTAGAAAGGACTTCCTACAGATCGACAGTGAACTGAGGAAGGAAATTTCAACGCTGGGTGACAGGACCAGTCATTTAGAAAACAAATCCGACGAGCTGTGTGTAGCTCACAACGAAGTCGTGGATAAACTTCAGAAACTCTCAGAAGACAACAATACACTTCAATTAAAATTAGCAGATTTAGAGGACAGATCCAGAAGATAGAACGTCCGATTTAGGGGTATACCAGATGATATCTCCCATGACGCCCTACCGGCTTTTATACTATCTATTTGTAAATCATTAGTCCCAGACTTGCCTGACTCTGCCTGGACTTTCGATCGCATGCACAGACTTCCACGTCCGGCACGTATGGCGAATGATGTTCCTAAAGACACCATTGTGAAGTTCCATTACTTTGCACACAAGAACACCCTGCTTAACGCAGCATGGAAAGCAGGCACCTTACCTGAACCCTTTCAGAAAATATTTTTATTCGCTGACCTATCGGCTTCCACAATGGCACGTCGAAAAGAATTTATAACCATCACTAAGACCCTGCGCAACAATAATATTTCTTACAAGTGGGGTTATCCAACGAAGCTTCTGATCTGGAGACAAGGCAGAACATCGGTCATAACCGAACCAGCCGAAGACATGAAGGCACTCACCTCCTGGGGTCTCTGGAATGCGACTACAACAACCTCACACGACGCACCAGCAACAGACCTCTCCCCGAAAAAACTTCAGGCGGATTGGAATATGACGGGATCGTCAACTACAAAACCATGAACTGCCTTCTATCTTACATGCTTGAAAAGTGATGAGTATAACTTGTACTGTGTTCTGTTAGTTAAAATCTTAAGCTAAACTATTTCTTTCTATGTAACATGTTTTTTAAGTTTGTAATGATATTTTAGCACAGCTGACTCTAAATCTCCACTTAGTTAAGTTATATGCCTTAACTCACTCTTCCTTAGTTACCACCTGAACGTTGAAATGTTTAACCGTACATGCCTTACTCGAAGTACACACTGTGACATGGAACCTCTGTTAGCTGCATTACTATAAGCCTGGCTCTCCGTGATTGTTCACGGTCACTAAATGTTAACTTACCGTAGACTATAACTCCACACTGCACTCAAATATGGACGACAATTTTCAATCCAGTACTCCTGTACTTAGATCTTTGTCTTAAATATAATAGGTTATCCAAATGTAACTAAAGTAAGAAGCACTATCAGTGCAAATCATCGCTTAACTAATATTGGGCGTTTAGACCCACTCAGAATGGCACAATAATATACTATCAATTACAACTCACTTGATTATGGGGATGAGCGCACACGCCTGCACCACCCAAGAGTTACTAAATACAGAACTTTCTTTAATTTATTTTATGTTCCATGTAGTTCCATGCAGTTTCATCTATGGTTCCAGGATTGCAATATGCAATGCGGCTGTCTTTTTATGTCACAAGCATACGATTCCGAGTACAAACTTTCACGTGTGCACACACTCTAAATGTACATAGAACTAAGCGCCGACTACAGGTTAGAGTCACCTATCCATCAGTTACCTGTATACGGGGTGAGACCCGCTTTATTTTACATCTTATACCTTATATTATTATTTACTTTACAATTTGTTATTTATGTTTTATGTTTTATAATTCATTGTTTAAAGCCTATACTCACTGGAAGGGAAAGGACAACCCATAACGAATTAGCATAGACGGCGCATTATTCGGCAGTATTGATCTTCCTTAAACCCCCCCGTTAACTTAGTATCACCACTATCCGGTTATCATGCTACTACCACTACCCAGTATTGCATGTTTCGCTCCAATATATTTCGGAGACCGTTCGCCTGCCGAATGCACCCTCCAGCCTAGGTGACACATTAGCTACTAAATGATACATTGCTAGTTGGGCATTAGCATCACCTTCTTCACCTCTTAAAAACATCACAACTCCCTGCCACTTTGAGCCACCTCTCTTTTTCTTATTTTTAGTTTTGTTTCTCTTTTGTCTTTAAATGCAGTTGCTCATTGTAATGCGGCTCACATCAGGCTGAAGAAACTCTCTCTCGCCCCCCAGGTCACGGTTTGAGACACACATAGTGGTCTCAACATGACCAAACTACACCTTCTCTCCAAAGAAGGAACCTTTGTACATAGTTACGTATTACTTGTTACTTCTTTCTCTCTCCCCTTCCTCTTCCTTTACTCATTACCCTCACATCCGAACGCATCAATAAGTAGCCCATCCGTATGTCTTAATGTAAGCAATGCTATACCTGATACTAATAGCTCTACTCGTGTGGAAACAAACGTTCAGCTTACCCCTCATATCACAAGAACAAGACACTTAAGCACAACCACTAATACTACACAATCAATATAATGGCTAACACGATGAAAATTTTATCTCTTAATGTCAAAGGCCTCAACAGCCCGTACAAACGAAGACAAGTTCTAAGAGACATGCACGACTCCAATGCCGCTATAGTATGCCTTCAAGAAACTCATTTCTGTAAAAAGAACCCTCCTAAACTACGATCCTCCAGATACCCCATAGCTTACCATGCCTACGCGCCAAACAAATCATGCAGACTGGGTATTCACCCCTACCACACAACATGCTGACCCAAGTGGAAGATTGTTAATCATAGTGGGAGACCTCAACGGGATCCAAGTGACGATAGCATCCTTATATGCACCAAATGAGGCTCAATTCTCCTTTCTCAATAAAGCCATAAAGAAAATCTCCTCATTAAAACAAGGACATGTTATAATTTGCGGCGACTGTAACTGTACACTAGACCCTGCATTAGATGTTCAAAGTACCAACGATAAAAAGCCTAGCAAACTAACCCTCCATAACAGTAAATTATTTTCCAATCTCATTTTTTCGTACGATCTTTACGATACGTGGAGAAACCTATTCCCAGCTGCCAAGGACTTCACCTATTTCTCCCCGGTCCACTTAACATATACCCGGATAGATATCTGTCTGATAGATAAATCTACATTGCCTCACCTTCTAGACCAAATGATAGGGACCAGAACCTGGTCAGATCACGCCCCAATAATTACCACAATAGCAGTGCCTTACCCTACGAGAGGCCGAGGCAAATGGAGATTAAATGAATCCATTCTTGACACACCTTCAAATTTAGAGAAGACTGCCCGCGAACTGCAAAACTATTTTGAAACCAACACTACAAATGAGACCTCAATAGAAACCCAATGGCTTGCTCACAAAGCGGTGATCAGGGGTGAATTTATTAAAATAGGATCAATCAACAAGAAGAAATCTCATAACTTACAGCAAAAATTACTCCAGAAACTCACAACCTTGGAAAACACCAACAAAGTAACCCCTTCCCGTGCCATGACAAAGCATGAAACACGCGAAGAGATTCTAAAACTTAAGATCAAAGAATTTACCACGAATGCAGCAAGACTTCAACGACACTTTTATGGCACGGGTAACAAAGCCGGTAAATTGTTAGCAAGTCAGCTGAAGTCCAAATATCTTCAAACGAAAATCCCATATATTCTCTCAAAATCACAGATAAAAATATATAACCCTACCAACATAGTGAATGAACTAGCATCTTTCTATGAGGATCTATACAACCTGAACGCAAACGAGAATACGTACACTCCAGACAAAATAGAAATTCAAACTTTTCTAGAACGAATACAACTGCCAAAAATCTCACAGCAACAAAATAACTTGCTCACAGCCCCGTTTACGGAATCCGAGGTAGCTGCGGCTATCAAATCCCTCCCTAAGCACAAAGCCCCTGGCCCAGACGGACTCCCGAATTACTATTATCTTAAACTAGAACCATACCTATCTCCGCACATTACCAAGCTTTTTAATAAAATAAAAAGAAACTGTCTGTTTCCCCAGAACTATGCTAGAAGCATACATTATTACCCTACCCAAGCCGAATAAACCACCCACAACATGTGGTAATCTAAGACCAATTTCATTGCTGAACGCTGATGTGAAACTCTATGCAAAACTTATAGCCACAAGATTGAAACCCTTGCTGTCTACCTTGGTCTCGGAAGAACAAGCAGGCTTCGTGCCTGGCAAGCAGGTGGGAGACAACACCAGATTTTGTATGGATCTCATCAATTGGGCAACTCGACAACGTATATCCGGGGTCTTAATGGCCTTGGACGCAGAAAAGGCCTTCGATCGCCTAAATTGGACATATATGAAGACTACCCTACAAGCCTATGGATTCTCAGATTCCTTTATCATGAGCATTCTGGCCCTTTACTCCGCGCCATCAGCGAGAGTTCTCAATTCAGGATTCTTATCTAAAAGCTTTGATATCTCAAATGGTACGAGACAAGGGTGCCCCTTATCCCCCCTCATATTTATTTTATGTTTAGAGCCTCTCATTCGTACAATTAAACAAGATCCCTCACTCCCAGGCTTTACCACACCAGCAGGAGTAAAGAAGCTTGCTTTATTTGCAGACGATGTTATTCTTTTTTTAGCGAACCCGAGATCTGCCATACCCCATCTCATGCATACTCTTGCCACATATGGCAACTTGTCATTTTATAAAAACAACATCAGTAAAACACAAATACTTCCTCTGAACCTTGAGTCCCATGTTATAGCCATGCTGAAATCACAATTCCCCTTTGATTGGCGCAAAACTTCTGTTACATATTTAGGTATCAAACTTACGTTATCACACTCTCACACTATAAAAGAAAATCATGAAGCAGTCCTATTGAAAATATCCAACCAATTGAAATCCTGGGACAAATTGAACACCTCCTGGATAGGTAGAGTGAATTTGGTTAAAATGATGGCGCTCCCTCATATTCTCTATCTCTTCAGAACACTACCTATCAATCTTCCCAAATCGATTCTTACGAAATTCCAATCAACAATCAACGCGCACATTTGGAAAAGAAAACCTCCGAGAGTCGCTGCTCACTCTCTATGGCGCCCCATTCATCAAGGCGGCCTGAGCGTTCCTAATATCACTAACTATTACAAAGCCTCCACGCTTGCACAG